AACCCACTGTAGTGATGAGTCCTTTCCCCTGCAGGGACCCCCACGGGCAAAGAATCCATTGTGCAGGTCCACATCGAAGTTTTGGATGAGAACGACAATGCCCCAGAGTTTGCCAAGCCCTACGAGCCCAAAGTGTGTGAGAACGCTGCCCAGGGCAAGGTGAGTCTAACTCAGGTGGGAGGGCAAGGCAGCGTCTGCCTGGGGCAGGCCGAGGGCTAGCACCTCCCAGCCACGGTCAGCTGGCATTTCACTAAGTTTAATGTAACTTGTACAACAGTCTTGAGGAAAGGTGACATTATCCCTACAGAGGGTGAAACTGAGGCTCAGAGAGAATGTGTAGTGAGTAGATTGGCGGGGAGGTGGTGGCAGAAAGAGTGGCTCTGTGGAGACCATTTAGGTTAGTGTTACAGGTGAGAGGCAGCCACGGTCAGGTCTAAACCCAAAGTCCCTCCCGATCACTGAAACCCCGGCCAACCCAACACCGCTAATGACCGGCCCCCATCTTCCACCCTCTAGCTGGTCGTGCAAATCTCGGCAATAGACAAGGATGTAACACCACGAGATGTGAAGTTCAAGTTTTCCCTGAGCACTGAGGACAGCAACTTCACCCTCACGGATAATCACGGTGCGCCTCAAGGCAGTCAGGCTGGCTCTTGGGGGGCTCGGGGACGGGGTTGTCTTGAAGAGCCAGGGTCAAGGACCAAGCCAGTGAACTGGGGGCAGGCCCTCAGTGGGGCTTTCAAGTTACAGGAGGTTTTGTACAATTCCCACCACATACCTAACTGGTCTGTGCAATGGTCAGAGCCACCCTGGCACACTGCTAAGTCCACATGGCCCGCCCTTCCCCATAAGATGCTCAGGTTACTGAGGAGCACAGAACAGATATGCGGTGTAGACAGCTTGGTTCACAAACTAGCCAAAGACTCCTTGCTGCGCTCAGCACAACTGCAAATTACTCTATGACATAGAACTTTGAGGTTGCTTCCAAAGAGGCAAAACTGGACATTTGAGACCCAAAATGCCAAGGGTACAGTGTTTTAATTTGGCTACAATGACTACTTACCACCAGGTGTCCTCGGGACAGGATCTGGCCCACCAATCACAGCCTAGAGAGCCCTGTGATGTCAGCAGCGGCCAGAGTTTCTCATGAGTATGTGCTTCCAAGAGTGTCAGTGCTGAGTTGACTGAATTCCAGCCAAAAGCAAACAGGCTTCCATGGCTTCTGCACCTTCCTAAGAAAAACACAAAAAAATCCCCTTGCGTCTAAATAGAACAATCCTTCACCCAGAATGGGGTGGAATCCCTGCCCATCCCTAACTGGCAACACTGTGGTTGGTGAGGATCCCTGTATAGAAACAGCCATTGCCACCTTTGAGGAAGGTCAGGGGGTGGGGTCCCTGAGAGTGAGAGGCAGACCCAGGGGATCAGCCACAGACTTGTCCTTAAGGAGCCTCCTATGGGATGGGGATGGTGGCTATGATGCGCGGACAGTCAATGACAGACCATTCAACATTCCGCTGTCTTTAGTAGTAAATAATATGGAAAAAATACCTGTCACCCCATCCCCAGTGCCCACCTCAATCCTGCCTCAGAGGAGGGCTGCAATGGAGAAGAAAGCTTAAACACCAACCCAAAGACACCCCATATGTGACCAGGAGACTAGCTTGTTGATCTCAGATTCACTTAGAACATGAATGTCCTGCTACAATATTAAATGAGTATAGTGAGAAATCTCTAATTCCCCTCATACAGTGTCAGTGGCCATATTGTTATTATTTTCAATTATAATAGACATGGCTACTTAATAATGAAATGTAATTGGCTTCCATTTGAAATCTAAAAGATGGCCTCCTTTGCTTTTGGCTTTCTGAGTGTGCCAACACTGCAGGGCTAGGTAAACCCTGGAACAGGGAGTCCCTGGACCCTCTAACCATCATCATCTCCTAGGAGCCAACAAAGGGCAGACTATCCAGCCACTGAATCAGAAAGGCGGGAGAGGGGAGGGGGAAAAGGAAGGAGGAGTGGAGGCTGGCGGTTCTGAAAAACCAGCATGTTAAAAAATCTCCCTGGGGAACTCTGTACAAGGGTTGATTGGAGCTGAGAGGGAGAGCCTATGTCTGGGCCAAAGCACATTCTCAATTCCAGCCTGACCAGGGAATCCTCAATTACATATGCAGTCATTCCCTCAGTGCCCCAGGGAACTGTGCATTGTTTTTACTTTCTAATGGATTTTCAGGGATAGCAAAAACAGCCTTAGAAGTTAGCCCGATGCTAAAAGACTTTTTAAGACTTTATTTCCCCCTGATTGCTCATCAAAGCTTGAAACAGTGCGTTAATTAGCTGACAGTCACCTTTTATTAAAGTAGAGTTAGGGGTCAGGCATATCATTTGCCCACAGAAACAGAAAGCAAGGGTTTTACATTCTGGCCAAGTCCTTCTTAGAGGCCAGGTCGAAGCAGCTGCCCAAAACATCCCCTCTCTGGAGGAACAGACCTGCGCTCAAATGGCTAAAACCTGAGGCAAGGGGGTGCAAAGAGCAGAGACACAGCCCAGGCAGCACGTGGGCTGGTGCAGTTACCAAGGGCTTCCTGGAGGTGGCAGGCCACACCGTCAGTGTGGATGAGAGGATGGGCACTCCAGGCAGCAGAGCCTGACTCCGAGGCCTTGGTGTTTCCAGATAACACGGCCAACATCACAGTCAGGTACGGGTATTTTGACCGAGAGCGCGCCAAGGTCCACCACCTGCCCGTGCTCATCTCGGACAACGGGAGGCCAAGCCTCACAGGCACCAGCATGCTGGATGTGACCGTGTGCAAGTGCAACGAACGCGGCGAGTTCACCTTGTGTGAGGAGGTGGCCGCCCAGGTGGGCGTCAGCATCCAGGCGCTGGTAGCTATCTTCCTCTGCATCCTCACCATCACAGGTCAGTGCCCAGGAGGATGGGAGGGGACATTTAGGGGGCTACACAGGAGAAGGAAGAGGCCAGGGATCCAGGCCCAGCCCTGCCTCCAGGCCCTAGTGCAGGCCTGTGCTAGGTGTAAGCTTCACCTCCTTGGGTGCCTAACTGTGGGGATGGCGGGGGAAGGGGTGGGGGGAAGAAGGGGGGACTCAAGGCTCCTTCCCCAGTTTAAAATACTTTATATATAACATTCACTCATTCAACTGACATGTTTTGAGCACTTATTGTGTGCCAGGCACTGTTCTAGGCATTTATTTATATAAAACCTCTTCTGAGGGAATTTCCTGGCGGTCCAATGGTTAGGACTCTTCGCTCTCACTGCAAAGGGGCCGGGTTCAATCCCTGGTCAGGGAACTAAGTTCCCACAAGTCACACACACCTGCTTTGAAAAAAGAGGATCCAGTTCTTCTTTTGGAGAGAAATGGAAAGTTTAAAATTTCTCGTTTAGATTATAGCCAGTGGTTTTCTTTCTACTTTTAGGATTTCTCCAGCCTTGATATCTCTTTTCTTCTTGTTTGGGCCTCAGAAATTTTAGGAGCATTTTAGGCCTTGCCTTAGTTTGGGTTCCCCAGGAAGCAGACCCTGGGACCAGGATTGGGGTGCACATGGTTTATTTGAGAGGCACTCCCAAGAAGCCCCAGAAAGAAGAGGGGGAGTGAGGCTGGAAAGGTAGGCAGCCAATCAAGGGCAAGTTGTCACACAAGCTGCCACCATGGGACACTGGAGCTTATTCTCACTGGAGACTAGGTGGCGGCACTCACAGCCCATGTTTTTCCAACGATGCCCACCAGCTGATGGTGGGGCTCCTCCCAGAGGTGTAAGTTCTGCATTTCACCTGGGGCCGGGGCTGGCCCTCCAGAGGAAGCCCTTGGGTGGTTAGAGGTCACCCTGTGCACTACAATGACAGGACCGGGGGACACAGTGAGGGACCCACATCATCTGCTCCAGGCCTTTCCTGCCAGTGGCTTCCCTGAGAGGCCCCCTGGCAGTGCCCCCACTTCTGGGGCTTCCGCGGCAAAGAGTCCAGACCCAGATTTTCCTCTCAATAAAAATTAATAATAATGATATACTGGCATCACCACCACACACAGAATTGCACTTAACCTCATAGCCACCTTATCAAATATAAACAGAGCAGAGGAGTCATCACTTCCATTTTACAGGAAAGGAAACAGAGGCTCAGAGAGGGCATACTGGCTTTTCTTATGTATGGAACAGTTCGTTAAGTAACTCGAAGCTAGAAGGACAGAGTCTAGAGATGCTCTGAGCCTACTTCTAGGAGCTCTCTGCCCCACATGGTCCACCCCTCCTAGGGGTTGGCAACCGTCATGCAGTCACACACCTCAGAGCTTTGAGCAGGGCCAACACCACACCGCTGCCTGATCACGGGACTCTGGGCATGTCACTCAGCTTCTCTGAGCTTGGTTTGCTCATGTAAAATGGGATGTTAATACCTACTTTGAGTAAAAGAACATGAAAATGTGCCAATACCATGCCAGCATGTATACAGTAGGTGCTCAAGAGTAGCTGCTGCTACTGCAATGGGTCCATGTCTACCAGCACCACCATGACCCATCATCATCATCGTCGTCATGGCTCAGAATCTTTGCACTCCAAATTCCAACTCCATCCCTTTCCCCATTTCTGCCCCAACCTCTGGCCTCCTGGCCTTTGGACAAGACACAGAAGGATTTGCCACAGTGGTTAAGAGGAGGGAGGAACTGAGGATGCGGGTAGATGGGGAGGAATGTGGCAGGAGAGAATGAACTTGAGGGGGGCCCACTCTGTTGCTCTCCCCCCAGCCCTACTATGGCCAGGACACCAGCAAGGATGGATCCTGGGTGGGGGTGGGGTGGAGATGACTCTGGAGTGGGAATGAGGGTGGACCCACCAGGTGCCTAGACCAAACCAAAACTTCTGCATTGGCCCAGCTGTCACTGGGAGCTGGGCTGGCCCAGGGATTCCCAGGAAGGAGGGGAGGGTGCAGATATTTTATAGATATTTTATAGTGTAACGTTTTAATTCTCTTGACGTTTCTTTGACTAGATTTTATGTTTTTTTCTTAGTGGTTCTCCTAAGGATTATACTTAAAATCTTAACTTATAACAATCCAGTTAGAATTTGTACCAACTTAATTTAAGTAGTGTACAAAACCCTGCCCCTAATAGATCCACTCCCTCCCCCCTCCTGTGTGCTATCACTGTTGTACATATTACATTTTTATACATCGTATGCCCATCAATATAGATTTATAATTATTGCTTTACGCAGTTGTCTTTTAAATCATATAGGAGGGAAAAAAAGAGTTACAAACTATACATATACTGCCTTTTTTATATATAAACCTCAAGGCGGGGGTGGGGTGAGGGTGGCGGGGGAGTCCTCCGGTCTGCTGGGCCATGGCTGACCAGCTCTGGCTCGCTTGTTCGCAGTGATCACCCTCCTCATCATCCTGCGGCGGCGGCTCCGGAAGCAGGCCCGCGCCCACGGCAAGAGCGTGCCGGAGATCCACGAGCAGCTGGTCACCTATGACGAGGAGGGCGGCGGCGAGATGGACACCACCAGCTACGATGTGTCGGTGCTCAACTCGGTGCGCCACGGCGGGACCAAGCCCCCGCGGCCGGCGCTGGACACGCGGCCGTCCCTCTACGCACAGGTGCAGAAGCCGCCGCGGCACGCGCCCGGGGCGCACGGGCCCGGCGAGATGGCCGCAATGATTGAGGTGAGGAAGGACGAGGCGGACCACGACGGCGGCGGCCCACCCTACGACACGCTGCACATCTATGGCTATGAGGGCGCCGAGTCCATCGCCGAGTCCCTCAGCTCCCTGGGCACCGATTCATCTGACTCGGACATCGATTATGACTTTCTCAGTGACTGGGGGCCCAGGTTCAAGATGCTGGCCGAGCTGTATGGCTCGGACCCCCGGGAGGAGCTGGTGTATTAGGGGACCGCGGGCCTCTGGGCCTGGGTAGCTCAGACTAGTCGGACACGGGCACTGAGCCCTCCAATCGTAGCACTCATGTCCCAGCCTAACAGCCCTTCCTCATGGGTCCCAGAGACCTCACCACCTTGGATGGCAAAATCCAAGTCCCTGAAATGTCCAGGAACGTATTTCAGTGATGGCTACTCCCAAAACGCTGGAAAACACCAGGCTGATGTTCTCTCTGGGCTGAGACATCCACATAACCCTGTCACCTGCGACAACGGGTCCAACTCAAAGACTTTCTCTGTCTTCTCAAAGCAGATTATGCTCAACTGCCAGGGGGAGGTCTTCCGCTGAGGTCCCTGAACCCCTGGGGCGGGGGGCGGGGGGGTCCTGGTGCCTGTCACCTGGAGGCAAGGGGCTGGATGGCATGACTGCTGGGCAAGACTTTCTGTAACCCAGTCCCCCAGGAGACTGGGCCCGCCCCCCCCCCAGGCCTGCACTGCTTTAGATTCCTCACACCCTCCCAAGACCCCCAGCATTCTGCAGCCTCTCCCCAGGCCTGTCAAAATGGAGAAAGGGCCTCTTGACATCTCCCGACCTTGGGTCTTGAGGTGACCTCGTTGGCCCGCCATGCCTGTAACTATGCTGTACTGTGTACTGAAAATTCATCCAAGGTCAGGGAAATGGCTCGTTGAACTTTAAAGCAACTGTGAATTCATCCTGGAGGGACAGTGGAGACCAAACGAGACCACAGATCATAGGGTGAGGGCCACCTCCACACCCACTCCCTCCAGAGAGGGCCAGGAGTTGCTGTGACCCCAATTTGAGACTCACGACACCCCTCCAGTTTTGCCTGGGAAGCGGGGCAGATGTTCCCGGAGCAGAAGCCCTCTCCCTGCCTCGCCCGGTCACTCATTCATGCTGTCTCTTTCTTTTTTCTTTCTCTCCATCTACTCTTGATCTCGTGACTTAGAGGCACTTAAGGTGCGACCCACATCAACTCTGGCCAAAGTCCAAACCCAAACATGACTGCGCAACACAGCTGTGCCATTTGCCTTTACACCTCGTTGTTGCCACATCTCAGGGAACCCCAGCAGGGCCCCATCCCTACAGAAGGCAAGGCCCCTGCTCAGGCCCAGTGGTCACCTGTTCCTCTTCCACTTTCAGCCACGTACGGAACTTTCCACTGCAAACACACCTTAGGGAAGTGGCATCACTCAACGGGGGTGCGGGGAAGGAGGCAAACTCTCTGACTCACCATTTGTCATGGACCAAGGTTCCTGCTCTGGGCAAGGCCCCTCACTTCAGGGGATTGTAGATAACACTGACTTCTTATTTTTAACCAATAACGAGTTTTTCTTTTTTTTTTTTTTTTTTTTTTACTAA